CTCGCTGTGTTTTTTGAGAGTTTGTTTCTATTTGATTTTACTCGGAGAAGCATGACACTTATTTGCTTCTTTCCCTCTATTGCAGGGACATGGTTTTAGGATGGATCTTGTCTCTATGCTAGAAAATATAAAACCTCGGTATCTCAGATTTCCAGGTATGTGTTAAACATTCTTGCATTATATAACTTATGAACAAGGTCAAGGCTTATGAGAAATTACCAGATAAACTGAAATTTTCAATCTCAGGTTACATATATGATGGTGAAAACATATCACAACTCTTGCCCAAATTTTTGGGTCCCTTGATTATGTTTTTTTTATTAGATTCTTTTTGGTTTGACTGTGAGAATTGGTTATCCATATGGCAAGATCTTAAATTGTTTCTCATATATTATTGCTTCCAAGAACTACCAGCTATACTTTAACAGAGAAGTATTCAATTATTGAAGAGATGATCCTCGGTATATAGCTTTCCATCTTGTGAATTGAATCGAAGAATATAATTCATCTAGTAGACCCCACCAAGTTGGGAGGAAGGCTATGTTGTTGTCGTTGTTGTCGTATGACAATTTGTTCACATGTGAGGCATTAGGTTTCTAAGGGTTTGTTTGGGTAGGAGAAGATGGAACCTCATGTTGTTCCAGCTCCATTAAAAAAATTTTTTTTGGTCAGATGATGTTGCAACACCAAAAATAGGGGGATTGCTCCAATACTCAAATTCAAGTGTGCCAACAACAGAAGTTGAAACAATATGATGTTGCAAAAGCATTTGTTATTCCACCTACTATTTATATGTATCACCGACTCCTACCCAAGATCTCAACATCTCAGTTCTATTTTTGTCTAATTCTAGACCGAATGAGCCTATAATGTGGAAAGCAAGTGAATTAGATCTTATAAAATTCGAAGCTATTTTTTATAAGTTTGTAATAGAATTCTATTGTCTAATCAATTTAGGTACTGCTACATATTGTATGATGGAGCCTCTTCATTCTTGTTAGGCACTGTACCTAAACAATATTAAAATTTAAAGGCTTTTCATTTAAGTGTTAGGATAATTTTTATGCAAAATATGGTCAGACTCATAGCAGAAGTTCACTACTCTCAATTTTTCGATAACTTTTACAGGTGGTAGCTATGTTGAAGGTGGGTGGCTAAGAAATGCTTTTCGATGGAAGGAAACAGTTGGTCCCTGGGAAGAGAGGCCGGGTCACTTTGGTGATATTTGGCTGTATTGGACTGACGATGGCCTTGGATTTTTTGAATTTCTTCAAGTAGATATCTGATTTTTTAAAATGTTATTTGTCTAAACGTAATTTCCTACCATGAATTTACCAAGAATGATTTTTTTGCTGATAGTGATAGTTATTGCTTCTCTCAGCTCGCAGAGGACCTAGCTGCTGCTCCAGTTTGGGTGATTAATAATGGTAATATCCATCACCTTAACAAGCTATAGTTTATTGTTACAATTTTTTCGCTGTCTCATACAATCCCTCGCATTACTACAGGAATCAGCCATAATGATCATGTTGATTCGTCCGGCATCTTACCATTTGTACAGGCATGTCTAACTGGCAAACTTCTGTCCATTTTGACTACTATCAAACATACAAGTTGTTTAATAGTACTCATTATGGATAAAAAAAATTCGTTAAACAACTATTTGTACAATTCAATAGCAAGTTAGAACGGACTAATATGCAATATTTTCACGCTTCACTTAGGATATTCTTGATGGCATAGAGTTTGCTCGGGGTGATCCTGACACCAAGTGGGGATCCATTCGAGCGACAATGGGCCATCCGAAACCTTTTCAACTAAATCATGTTGCAATCGGAAATGAAGACTGTTGGCGAGGAAATTACCGAGGTTTGTCTCTTAAATGTTTTTAAATCTTGATGCGGTGCATGGATAATGTCACAATTACTTGTATATAGATATATAAATATTCATGTCCTCAGAATACATTTCTTCTGAGTTCCTACTCCTCTTTCAGCCTGCTGTCGTTTCTTGTTGGCGTCGGTTTAAATGTCATGTTGTATAGTTTTGGCTCGTGCTATGTAAATAACATCTGTTTTGATAAGTTTAGTTCAATAAGGTATTAGTATGGATTGGTATTCATTTGTGAATCCTTTTCATTTATCTTGAGGTCACTATTGCATCTAAATTTGCATTTTGGTTGAAGATATCCAATGCATTCACAAGTATTATTCAACTGATGGACACAAATCAGTTTGCTGACATGCATTACTTTCTATTTGAACAGGAAACTATCTCAAGTTCTACAATGGGATTAAAGCTATTTATCCTGACATCAAAATCATTTCCAATTGCGACGGATCTTCTCACCAATTAGATCATCCTGCAGATCTTTACGATTTCCATGTAAGCGCTAATGCTAGCACTCCGTCTACCAACCTTTTGAATATTTGCATTTAATTTCTTTAGTCCCGCACTTTTAGCATTATCACTTCATTATTAGCAAGGATAACGATCCCACTCCCTGGATAGGTTTATACATCTGCCGCCAACATGTTCTCCATGGTTCATCAATTTGACAGTGCTTCGCGTTCTGGACCAAAGGTACAGTTTGAATAGAGCTGAAGCCATGGGCTCTGTATTAATTTTTATAGGGCCTTTTGTATACATACTCCTTAAATCATGTATATTTTCAAAACTATCCCCCAAATCTCAGTATACAAAAGTACTCCCTGATCATCATCAGAAAAAAAAAACCCAGATCAACAAATCATCAACCTTTTTGGATACAGTGAGTCAAATTGACTATTTTGTAGATAGTTGTACGTCATATTTAGAAATTCGCTAATCGAAGTTAGTGATTTGTTGATTTGGGTTTTTTTTACCAAAGTTTATGATTTGGGGGTCCTTTTGCAAATGTTGAGATTTGTGGGGTAGTTTTGCGAGTAAGCATGATTTAAGGGGTACATATACAAAATACCCTTATGGATACCAGATACTGCTTAGTTCTAAATCTATGACACACTGCCAGGCTTTTGTTAGTGAGTATGCTGTGCACGGAGGGGATGCTGGCTCCGGAAGCCTTTTAGCAGCACTAGCAGAAGCTGCTTTTCTTATTGGTCTTGAAAAGAACAGGTTCCTTTTCCTATATTCCTACTATAACAGGTCTACGTACTGATCGTTCTCTATCATCACAAAATATTAATTTAGAGCATACAACAGTATGTGAAACTTCTCATGGCGGAGGCGTGTCTTTATAAGATCGGTAGCTGGTTGTCAAGTTTATTCGTATTTTCTGGTTTCTTTAGCGCGTGTAATCTTACTCAAATGAAACGATCGTGGTGTCCCATGCAGAGTAATTTTCTTTAAATTTGCACAAAAAGAATTGTATTCGTAACTCATGTATCAGCTCGTATGGATACTTATAGACTGCAATTTTACTTCGGATCCAGTCATCCCTTGGAGTTTTACCTCGCAAACCCTTAAGCATCATTTGGAAGGTAGGAGCCAGCTCCTTAGTTTTCTCTCTATAAGTTGATAAAATATGTGTTATGTTCTTTTAGAAAAAAATTTATGACCATTAAAAAAAATCATGGATGGAGTATTAGTGGGCACTGATCCGAATTCTTATTTAAGCTGTATTGGTAAGGAACTGACAGTTCCCTTAACATAAGGCACAGGTTCTCATTGTGTCTGCATGTTTATTCTTTTCACTGAAGTCATGCTTTTTCTTGGGTATATACATATATATTCTGCAAATTAATGCTTGTTACTGTTCATTTGATTTTCTTTCTTATCATGTAGCGATGCTGTTGAGATGGCTAGCTATGCACCTTTGTTTGTCAACGCCAATGACCGACGGTAAATTCTCTCTTTAATTTTTCATTTATTTAATGAGAAATCATTTGACTCTGAATTCTTGCCTTCTAACTTGTTATGCTATTATTATTATTATTAACTCTTTCCTGCTCATAATGAATTTTAACAAATTTGAAGTTTTTTATGTTCAGGTTTAGCCCAGATGCCATTGTGTTTAACTCATGGCAGCATTATGGAACTCCAAGCTACTGGATGCAACAATTTTTCAGGGAATCAGGGGGGGCTATTTTCCATCCTACTACTGTAGAAGCCGGCTCCTCGAGTTTATTGGTTGCATCTGCAATTACTTGGCAAAATCCGAAAAACAGCAACACTTACCTGAAGATAAAGGTTCTCTCATTCCTTTGATTTGTTTATGTAGGCCATGCATTTTTTTTTTACATATAAATAATGGTGTGAATAAGCCTTGCACGTTTCATTCTTGAGAGTTTAGACACTTTCAGCTGCAAAAACGAAAAAAAAAATGTCTCCAAGCCTTACAAAAGTTAAAGAAATATCAATATACCACAAATGATAACCAAAAAAAAAGTAATAACAATAATAATAATAAATTGTTCTGAACTGACAAACCCAAAATCCAGGCGGATTTGATCTACAAAAAATAAATCAGTGTGTGTCCTCCATATCAGTGTTTTGTTGTCTCCGCGGTCATCATCGTCAGTTGGAATATTGTAGCGTAGAATTATATGATTTTGGCTAGCTTCATTTTCAATTGCTTTCCATACCTTGGTTGATTTATATTCACCTCCTAACTAATCAATACCCGGTCGTTTACCCTTTTATCTGTCAACGCTTTTCCTGCGACAACTTCGTGTTTTTCTTTTTTTTTTTTTTTTGGTTCTTTCATGTTTTCACTGATACACTGTTTCACAAACTTTTTTCCTTTTCTTGCAGATTGTCAATTTTGGGAGTGATGTCGTGAATCTTAAGATCTCAATGAATGGATTACAAAATCGTGTCTCCTCTTCAGGATCAATCAAGACTGTACTCACATCTGGTAATTTGAAGGATGAAAATTCCTTCAGTACACCTAAAAAGGTAATTTATGAAACAAAATGCCTTCTTAATTGTTTTTTCTTTTGTTTTTTCTTCCGAGGTAGGAAACCAATTGCTTAAATAATAATGACAATGTCTGAGAACTGTTTTTCTGATATCTATGCTCATTTAGTGTTATTGATTTTCTTTTTTTTTTTTTTTTTTTTAGGAACTGTTTTTCTGATATCTATGCTCATTTAGTGTTATTGATTTTCTTTTTTTTTTTTTTTTTTTTTGTAGGTAGTACCGGTATCCAGTGTTATTTCAAATGCAGGATCTAATATGGACGCCATTATATCTGCACATTCTGTAACTTCATTCGACCTACTACTTGCTCCAGCACATTCCAGGTCTACAATTTAAAAAATATATAAATAGAAAGCTAAAGAATCGCAAACACTGAAAAAATAAAAGATAAGAAAGCAACCAGCTAAAGAGTACAATAAAAGACTGGTTTGTACATATACATTTCTATCAATAAAACCACGAATTTGGATTGTTTAGATTGAACAGTATAATGCGAAGTTGTTATATGTCAATTCCTTTTTCGGTTGGATGCTGTTGTTTGTTGAAGATTCTATTCTTTATTGCGTTCTATCATGTCCATAAGTTGTAGGACAGTAAAATTTTTTTTATCAAACTCTGCCACAAGAACGTTTCCTAGAAAATATATGCTAATAATATAAAGATTAAGTTTGTATCTTTCTAAAAAATATAAACTCACTACTCTCCATGTAGCTTCTCTCTTTGTAAATTTTAGTATTTTTTATATTGTTCTTATCCCTTTTATATTCTATTAACTTTTAAGGGCTGAGGATTATTTTGACTTTTTTGGTCACGTAGAGTGTTAGGCACATTAAAACTTAGTGATGTTATTTTGGGAGATTAAAAAGGAAATATCTTTAAGGTTATTAAAAAAATTTAAATTTCTTTAAGTTCAGAGATTTTGTGGAATAAAGAAGTTCAGATGGTTAATGTGCAAAGCCCCTCAAACTTAAGAGAGTTTTGCGCAATAAAAATATTTAAGAGGAGCTATCTCAAAATGACCAAACTTAAGGGGCATTTTCCCATGAATATGTTGGATTTTTTTTAAGAAAATGCTAAGCGTACTACTCCCCTTATACCACTTTGGCACTACTATTCAAAAAAAAGTGCGGTCGTGGTGACTCACCACTTGAAAATTATAGTGGTGAGTCATCATCACCCCACTTTTTTATGAGTGGTAGTGTCAAAGTAGTGCAAATGGTGTAGTACACTTGTCATTACACTTGTCACTACTCAATTTCATAACTTTGTATCGGGAAGTGGATTCACAATTATAAAATTTTGGATTTTCATCCGACACGCTCTTTGATGAGAAGGGAGAAGATGGGAGAATTGTTTTCGTACTGATGATGAAAATGGTTACATGTATATATATACATCAATAATGCAATAATGCAAGAATCATCTAAACTAGGAAAATATATAAAAAGATATCAACACAAATATTTGACCAAATCCTTAAATTGATTGTGCCTAATCAACCAGCTTTTGTTTCCTTCTTTGGATGGATTTGATATCTCAATCAATCAGCACAATATTTGATCAAATCCTTAATTGATGTTGCTAGCTATTGTTGCCTGCTTTGGATGGATTTGATATCTCTATCATGCCCCCGCAAGATGGACGGCCTACGGGTAAGTCCAATCTTGGTCTGGAGAAGTTGAAATCGTTGACGAGAGAGAGGTTTAGTGAGGGCATCAGCAAGTTGATCAGTTGAGGAGACGTGAGCAACACGAAGCAATCCATTTTGAACACGTTCTCGGATGAAGTGATAATCGAGAGCCACATGCTTCATACGAGAGTGAAAAACGGGGTTGGCCCAGAGGTTAGTTGCACCAACATTGTCACAATAAATGACTGGTTGATGTGGAATGGTAACACCCAATTCAGTAAGTAGGGAACATATCCAGCTAAGTTCAGCTGTAGTGGCAGCCACAGAGCGATACTCTGCTTCAGTAGAGGAACGTGCAACAGTGCGTTGTTTCTTCGAGCTCCAAGAAACGAGGGATTGACCAAAGTAGATGAGATAAGCACTTGTGGATGTATAATCATCTTTATTGCCAGCCCAGTCTGCATCTGAGAACGCGTGAAGAGTCGTGGTTGATCGGCGATGCAGAGTAATACCATGATCAAGTGTCCCACAGAGATAACGTAAAAGACGCTTGGCCGCTTGCCAATGATCCGTCGTCGGTTGATGCATGAACTATGATAATTTGTTTACTATGTAAGCAATGTACGGCCGCGTGAGTGACAGATATTGAAGGCTGCCAACAAGGGTGCGGTACTCTGTGGGATTGGATAGGGCAGAGCCATGTTGCAAGGTGAGAGAAGGAGTGGTGGCCAGTGGCGTAGTAACAGGTTTGGCCTCAGTCATGCGAAAACGACTAAGAAGATCAATACTGTATTTGCGCTGGCAGAGAAAAAGCCCATTATTGTTAGGCAATACTTCAACACCAAGGAAATAGGATAACTGTCCAAGATCCTTAAGTGAGAAGCGTTGAGACAGATGTTGGATGAACTGATTAGTAGCCTCAGTATTGTTGCCTGTAATAATGATATCATCCACATAAATGAGAAAATAGATGATGGTATGGTTGGCATTAAATATAAAAAGAGATGTGTCCGCATTGGAGTTCACAAATCCGGCAGTGAGAAGAAACTTGCGAAGTTCATGATACCAAGCTCGGGGAGCTTGTTTGAGACCGTAAATGGCCTTACGAAGCTTGCAGACATGATTAGGATAATCTGGATCAATAAAACCCTGTGGTTGAGCCATGAATACATCTTCAGATAAAGTGCCTTGAAGAAAGGCATTGTTGACATCAAGCTGCCGGAGAGGCCAACCGTGGCTAACCGCAATACTGAGGACCAAATGAATAGTGGTTGGTTTGATAACCGGGCTGTATGTGTCATGGAAGTCAACACCTGGACGTTGGTGGAAACCCTTTGCAACTAGGCGAGCCTTGTACTTGTCAACCGAACCATCAGGCAAATACTTGGTGCGAAAGATCCATTTACAGCCAACCAAATTCTTGTTGGGATGGGAAGGAACCAATTCCCACGTACCGTTGTGAACCAGAGCATCATATTCTGTGGACAAGGCCTGTCTCCATTTGGGGTCTTTTAGGGCTTGGTTGACAGTTGTAGGTTCACGGGTATCAATATTCTGGTGGAGTTGGGCTGAGAGATTAAGCTTTTGGATGGGTTTGTGGATATTGTGTTTGGATCGAGTGACAATAACGTGCGGAGGGGTGGCGGTAGGGGAAGCTAGTTGAGTTGTAGTGGAGTGAGTAGATGTAGGTGCGGGCTCATTAGTAGTGGGTGATGATGAGGGGTTAGTAAGGGATTGTAGGGATGTATTTTGGTTAGACGTGGAGGCATGGTCAGTAGCTGAGGATGGTGTAGCAAGAACCCGCAGTGTCATGAGGCCCCATTCAGAGGGGGGGACAGACTTGGAGCACTCATTATCAAATCGAAGGGAAGTAAACGGAAAGACAGATTCGACAAATTTTACATGACGGGACGTGAATATGCGGGTGGTGGACGTGTCAAGGCAGAGATAGGCACTTTGGGTGAGAGAATATCCGATGAAGACACATGGAGATGACCGTGGAGCAAGTTTATGAGGCGTGTAGGGCCGTAACCAGGGATAGCATAGACAGCCGAAGCTACGAAGTTTGGAGTAGTTGGGTGGGGCACCAAAGAGCTTATGATATGGTGAAAGAAGTTGAAGAGTTGGTGTGGGAAGACGATTGATAAGGTATACAGCAGTAGAGAATGCATATGACCAGTAGGTTAAGGGCATGGATGCATGAGTCAGGAGAGACAACCCGGTTTCAACTATGTGACGGTGACGACGTTCTGAGTACCCATTGTGCTCGGGCGTGTGAGGTGGAGAAGTGAGATGGGCAATGCCATTGGTAGCTAGGAAACCTGTAAGAGCTTGATATTCCCCCCCATTGTCAGAGTAAAGTGTAAGAATTTTGCGTTTGAAATGATTTTCAACAAGAGCCTTGAATCGAACGAAAACATCAAACACCTGTGATTTCCGTCTTAGAGGATAAAGCCAGGTGTATTTTGTGAAATGATCGACAAAGACAACATAATACTTGTAACCATCAATTGAAGAGAGAGGAGAAGTCCATACATCAGAGAATAAAATTTCAAGAGGCGATGAGGAAGAGATGGTTGAAACAGAGAATGGTAATTTATGACTTTTATTGCACTGACAAGAATGGCAATGAGAAGTTTTATCAGTGGAACAATCTAATATAAAGGAAGACATAATGTGCTTAAAAATAACTGCAGATGGATGACCTAGTCTATGATGCCATGCGGACGAGGTGGTTTTGACACTAGAAAAGGCAAGAATCGGAGAAGTTGAAGAAGAGGTGACTGCCGGCCACTCATATACACCATCCTTAGTTGGACCCTGCAAAAGAATTGCCCCCGTGCGTAGATCCTTCACAGAAAATGAAGATGGTAAGAATTCAATGGATGTGTTATTAGTACGACAAAATTAGGATATTGAAATAAGATTCTTTTTCATGGCAGGTACACATAACACATTAGATAAAGTGAAGGATTGAGAGGGAGTTGTAAGAGAGGTTGAACCAGTGTGGGATATAGAGAGTCATGTGCCGTTACTAATAATGATATCATCTGTGCCATCATATGGTGTGTGATAGGAGAGATTCTGGAGATCAGCTGTGACATGATGGGAGGCACCACTGTCGAGAAGCCAAGTAGGACTGGCGGTGTTATCTGCGGTGGCTACATTGGCCCGAGGTTGAGATGGACGCGGCTGCCATGGAGTGTTGGGACGTGGTTGCCATGGGTTTGAGGGACGAGGTTGCCATTGATTCCCTGAGGGCGATGGTACTTGTATATTTGGTTGAACTTGGCGAAAGCTAGGGCAATTAGCAAGTACATGCCCCTTGGTGTTACACCGAACTTGGCGAAAGCTAGGGCAATTAGCAAGTACATGCCCCTTGGTGTTACACCATTGGCAGCGGCCAAGAAACGGACGAGGTGAGACACGCCCATCCGGAGTAGGTTTTTGTTCAACTTGACCAGTCTTCGGAGAGAATGATGAGAAACGGTTGTTGGGGGGCCCAGATTTCTTGGTAAATGTTGGATTAGCCGTGGCAGGAAAATGTGATGGCCCGGTCTTTTGTCGGAGGGTGAGCTCTTTGTTGATGAGTTTTTCATGGAGTTCATCAAACGATATAGTGGTCTCACGACCATTAACAGCATCAATAACAGATTGATATTCATCATCAAGACCGTCGAGAATTTTTTCAATGAGATCTTCTTGGTCTAAAGGTTTGCCGAGAGCTGCAAGTTCATCGGCACGAGTTTTGATAGACTGCATGTAATCAGATATAGTTTGTGCACCCTTGGTGATTTGTTTGAGTTGATCTTTAATTTGTTTGATGTGGCCTCGAGAGGGTCGAGCATATGTATTGGCCAGAACCTGCCAAAACTCGTAACA